TTTTTTTAGTATAGAACTTATTATATATATAGTTTAGTATTATAATATAGTTAAAAACCTTTATATTATTAAGGTTTTTTATAATCTCTATTTATACTAGCTTTAGAGCTTATAGCTTATTAATATTTAGTTTCTTCTCTTAAAAAGTATATAGAAGATCCTATATAAATACTACTATTTAATAAGCTAATTAGTATATTTATAAGCTTTTACTTTTAGTACTTCTAGCTTTAATTATAAGTAGGGGGGTATTATTATTTAATAGAAATATTCTCTTTTACTTCTTTAATTTTAGATTTACTAGCTTAATAAGTAGTAGCTTAATCTACTTAACTTTATTATTATTAGAATTAAAACTCTCTTCTATAATAAGTATAATAATAATAATACTTTCTTAGATATCTAAGCCTTTATTAGCTTACTAGCTATATATAGAAGTATTTAAAGTTATTATAAAAAGGTATAACTTTAGTATTTTTATTATAATATATAGGAGGTTATAATATAAGTAAAATTTATATAAACTAATAAAGTATACTAGTTAGCTAGCTAGAAACCCTAGCTATAAAAGTAGTAAGTATATCCCTCGCTAAATTTAGTTAAAATACTAACTTAGTAGTAAAATAAGTACTTCTATTATAAATCTAAAATTATATAAAGGATATAGGGTATCATTAGAGGTCACTTTTGCTATTAAATCTCTAGTACTAGTGCTAGTACTAGGGAGAAGATCACACCCTTAGTCTTCTCTTCTTTGTCCCCCCTTGTCCATGGACTCTTGTCCTTAACCTATGGCATTGTCCTGTGGTTGGTTGGTTGGTTGGTTGGTTGGCAGGTTGTGTTGTGTTGTGTTGGGTTGGGTTGGGTTGTGTCAGCAGTGGGCACGGGGAGACAAAGACCGAAACGAAGAGTCGTAGGTAATGGGGTTCGACAATCGGCATTGTGACCCTGGAGGGAAAGTCACAGTCTGACGAGGAGAAGAGCAAGACACTTGGACCTTCCCATCCTCAACTGCGAAAGAGAATGTCTACGCGCTAGCCTGATGTGGCCAGAGTAGATTAATACAGTCTGTGCCTGTGTCTGATGTCTATGCATCTCTCAGCCTGTGACCTCACTACTCCATTTGGCTCTCCAGGGTTCGCAGAGACAAGCCTCGCTCTCGACGCCTTCTACGGAGACGGCGCTCGCTGAGGAATGGAAAAGGACCGTTGCACATCGGATCTGGGACAAGTGTCGCTGCTGACGATTGCTGAAGACCCCTCTTCATTCCACCAAGTTCCATTCCGTCTCGCACATTCCCATCCGGGCTTATTATCATGGCGACGCCGGAGTGAGGGAGCAGCAATGAGAATGACGGGGTCCCTGACGCTGCCCTGATGCTGATTTGGCTCCTGACACTTGTTTTGCTAACGAGGGAGACATCTAGTAGCTTCACGTACTCGGCAGTGACAGGACAACAGACCCTGCTGGCTTCAGCTGTAGCGGTGTAGGGGACAAACTGTGCCGTAGAGTATAGTACTACCCTTTTTTTTTTTTTTTTTTGTCCCTTCGTGCCTTGCTCCATGTGAGAAGGCGGAGGCGGGAGCATCCTTGCATCCCGCCGATGAGGCGCAAATTGCAATCGGACCACCACCACCACCACCACGAGACCCGGGCCGTCGAGAGCACGACGCCTTGACCAATCCAATAATTTAAGGATAAGGATAGAGTAGGCAGCCAACATCAAACCGGACCAGCAACAAAGCAGCGCGAACGGCCATCGCGTGCCCGATTGAGAACCAAACAGCCGCGAGAAGCTTTTGCCATGCTGCCGGATTGACGTAACGGCTAAGCAGCTGGTGATATTGACGAGGGTCGCTCGGAAGTTTGTTGACTTGCCTGAGGTGCCACAAGTCCGGGGCCTTCTTATTTTGCTGCCTGTTAGCGTTACTTTAGCATCGCAAACAAGCAAGTCTAACAAGAGCACGGGATCTGGGTCAAGGGCCGCTAGGAACGACGAAACGGCAACTTCACAGCGTTCGCTGCGTTAATTGCGCATCGCACACGTCGGGCCTATCATTTGCCGTCGTAATCTGGCTGGATCGTCTTTGCCTCCTTCTCGGTCTGTCCTGTCTCGTTTTACATGCAACGGCCTGGCCGTATCGCGACCCTACCGTAACGTGCCGCTGCCTTTACATCATGCATGTTCGCAGGCACAGACTGCTGACAACATGCCTTGGAGTGCCCGGGAAATGGTGGACGATTGTGACCCGAGCTGGCGGCACGTCAACCAGGACTCGGCAGGCAAGGCCTTGGGCTTGTGCAGCAAAAGCCGAGTTGGTTCATACCTTACAGGCGCCATGGTTTGCCCACAAAGAAAACTGAAAAGACAAAGACGGCTGCCGTTCTAGGCACCCGGGTAGAGAGCAACAAGAGTGCCAAAAAAGACGGTGAGGGAGCGGGAGCTATGCCGTGGGTGGAACAGGAGATGGACATGCGATTTCCAGAAAACTGTATCTGCCCGCCGCATGCGGCCGGTGGCGGGTGCGAAGCTGGCGGCGTGGCCGGTCGGTACCAGGAGGCTTTCCCCAATGTGTTACACCCCCAAACTTACTAAAGCACGTATTTGTTAACTCATGAGCCCTGAGTCGATAAAGCGCCGTGCTAAGGAGCTTGTTTGATGATGTAGGTGATGTCGACGACGACGATGCATTACAACGCCTGTCGCGAGCTACTAGATCTGATTCTCAATTGCATCGTTGCTTCTTAAGGGGACTGCATCTCTCCATAAGGTAGGCAATCTCGGCCATGAGGCAACTCGCCCCGCACGCCATTGGCAATCACAGCTGAAGGTCGCAGTACCTCAGAGCCTGCCCGAGGATTAGGTTGTCCAACCAGCAAGGTGGTAGGTGATAAGGGGAGATTCGGAGAACCAGCCAGTGAATTGATTATGTGAGCAATTCAACGATGGCCGCTCGGTCGGGCATGGTTGGTTCCATTTATCGTGATGCTCGCCGCGCTTGCCCTGAGGAAAAAAAGACAAGAGTACCTTCCTTGGTTGCTGATGAATTTAATGAGTAGGGGCGGGGGGATGCCAGCCTTCATGGAAAAGACGACGTTCCATTGGATCATTCGTCAGTCTTTCCCTTTCAGTGGTCCCGCCCTGTGAAATCCGCCAAACTGGACTGTCCGCCGTCTACGTCCACCCGGGCTCCGGGCCCTCGCTGGAGCCTGTAGTCATTCCTACCCGACCAGATGGCGCTCATGTGAGTCTCAGGGCTCCCCTCAATCGTGGGCCAGCCTGCACCAAGGTCCTGCTGGATAGGTGTCTAAATACCTACCTCAACTGGGTGCCTACCTAGAGGTGCAATGCAATTCAGTGTCAGTCAATATCTGCCGGGTGTGGAGTGGTTTAGATGTTCCGCTGCCCGGTCCTTCCCACCATCCTTAGGTTTTCTCGTCTTTCGCCGTCGTTAATAGCCTCTGTCATTCTACGCACCATGACTTACCTTAGGTAAGGTATCTCAGGTAGGTAGGTACGCAAGGAACTTGACATATCCGTATTCTGCCTCATCTGGCTGAGCCTATTTGCCTCTTATCTTGTCTCGTGGGTGCTGTGACGCGCTACGATGCCCTGTATTATGTGCCGACTGTAAAACGATGATGGATACCTGTCAGGTACCTAGGTCCTCTCCGTGAAGGCGTGCTAGGTTCCTAAGGCACCTAGGTACGTAAGGTAAGGCACCTAGGTAGGTGCATTGGGAGGCACCCGACCTCCTTGGGCACCGCGACGTGCAATGCGGTGTCCCTGTGTGTATCTTAGCTTACCTATACCTACCTTAGAGACTGAACGTGGCGGGAGGGCCTTCTCAGGTACACCTCAGGTTCTGTATCCGTAGGTAAATCCCCTGGGGCGCGCTGAGGCTCCTCTCGTCGCGCGCTGCTAGGTAGGTAAGGTACCTTAAGGTAGGTAGGTAGGTATGGACTGGAACGCTGAGCAGACGCTGTGGGCTGCTCCTGGCTCTGCCTTTGCCCCTAGCAGGTCCACGGGGGTACCCCAGTAGGTAGGTACTACCGCTGGGCCGCTTGAGAAACGCCCAGGTCACTGCTGCAGCACTGCACAAATCTCGCGTACGTGCGTGCGTGCGGATGCATCCATCTTCGTCGTCTGCTTCTTCCTCGTCTCCGAATTTCTCCTCCTTTCCTCCCAACCTCCCCGTCATTTTTTTTTCCCTTTCTTTCCCATCCAATTTCTTCTAATCAGTGCGCCTCCGTCCCGCCCGCTCAACTTGATATCATTGCGTGCCAGATCGGTTGCGTATGCTTAACGGCGCCTGCTTCCATCTGCATTGTCTCTCAGGTCGGGTCTGGCTGACGCTGTTGCAATTTCACCGCACTCCGAGTCACGCTTCCGGGTGTCGGTCCTGAAACACAACCAAACCATTCCATCACCCTTCGCCCTCTTCTTCCATCTGCCTGACCACACCCTTTCCCCTTCTACACATCCACCTTTCCCTCTCTCTCGAGACACAGAGAGGAAAAAAAAGGCTCAACACCCATAGCATCTCTCCCTTGACTGCAAACGAACCATCAACCAACGGACCCTTTGAACGCTACGGCAAGAGAAGGTGAAAAACAAGAGCCTCGCAGCTTCCCTGGCCACTCTCCCAACCCCTCGCGCGGTACGAAACTAGCATCGAATCGAGACGAGTCCGCTCACGCACGATCCGATCCAATCCGAACCAATTCTCACACACACACATACATACAATATCGCCACCGTCGAGCAACCCTTCTGCAAAATCTCGACCATACCTCCCTCTCTCTTTCCACTTTCCACCTGCACGCATCAGGTGCAACCCTCGACACGTCGAGTCCGATACCACATCATCTAAAACACCCCGACAAAGGGGCCATCCAAACTGGAAGGGATATCTCATTCTCGCACCCTCCCACGGCTGCACTGCCTGGCCCCCGTCGACTTCTACCTCTATACTGCCTCATCTTGACCGCAATTCAAGATGAGAGAAGTCAACTTCAGCATCCCCAACGTCAATAAGGCGTCGGTCGGCATCACGACCGCCCTATACGATCGGCGAGCCCTCGACTGCACATCCACCTTACCTCTCATTAACTCCCTCAATCATCTCGCCTACCTCACTACCTCGTCCGCTCGCATTCGCGACATTCTCACTGTCGATGGCGGCATCGAGCGTCTGGTCTGTATCTTGAAACGCGGCCGCAGCAAGGATATGATGGACATGTGGAAATGGAACTTGGCTTTCCAGTGTGTCGTCAATATTGGCGTTAGAGGCACGGAAAACGTCCGCACTCGAGTCGTCGAGGCCGACATGGTCCCAGTCATTGCTACCATTCTCGACAATTACATCAAGGTCACTGAGAAGTGTAGAGACAAATCGGACGACAAGAGCAAAGACCATCATCATCGTCACAGAAGCCACGAGCACCGCAGCGTACACAAGGCCCCATCTTTCACCAATAGGTCCAGCCGTGTCGAGGTAGATCAAAGATCCTCAAGACGTCAGGCGCCTCCGCCTTCCATCGACGTCTCTGCGACCTATGCCGGCTCCTCTTCATCGAGTTCCGCTGTCGACCCGCAACAGACTACCGAAACCACTCCTACTCCGCCTCAGTACCCTGCAGGTGCTTCCACCGATAGACCTGCGTTCTCGGCTCACCGACACCACCATCACCATCACCACCACCATCACTATCGTGCTGCCGAGGCCCGCCATGCTGTTGCTTCTCCTTCTCGCCAGGTTGTGCAGCCTCTGGCGCCGGCTGTTCCTACCGGCGAGGCTTCTGATGGGCTCGTCCGACCCGTTCGGGACGTCGACCGCCTCGCATCTATGATGTCCCTTGGAAACCCCAACTTAACGTCGCAACCGTCTTCTCCCACTACTCCTCTCCCACCTCCTCAGATGCGCTCTCCTACAGTGCGGCCCACTTCGATGCTTGCCCCAACCAGCCGGTCTCGTCGCCGTCCTTCCATCCGACACCAAAATTCGACTGTGGATTCGGATGATCTGGTTGGTGATGACGCTCCTTCTGACGAGTCTCCCGATGCAGAGATGTCGGGCACTGGCAATGACATGCAATCCGCTGTCAATATCCAGGATATCACCATGGAAGAGGGCGACAGCATGCTCGCCGCGTCCACTACGATGGACTTGAATACGCCCACAGTCTCGGAGACTCAGGACACTGGAGCCTTCAACATCACACATCGTGGCCCTGTCGATACCAGCAATGTCGCCGCCACAACCCCTGCTCCTGTGCCTCCCATCGGCCTGTCCCCAAATCGTCCTGCTATGGTCACGCCTCCACAGCCGGCTATCCCCAATGCTAGCGTCCCTCGCTATTTGCTCGACCGGCAATTTGTCCCTAACGCCCAGATGCTTGCTGCCATGCCTCGTGAAGAGGACGTCCTGATGTCTCTCCAGCTGCTTGCGTACGTGTCAAAGTACTGCGGCTTACGATCCTACTTCCAGAAGAGCCACTTGGTTCCGAGGCTCAAGATCGGAAAGGAGCTCCGCTACTTGGACGGCGACAATGTTGCTCTCGACCAAGGAGAAGAAGAAGAGCTGGAAGAAGAGTATCTGCTGCCGAACGACTTCAACATTTTCCCTCTTGTCGAGAAGTTTACCGTGCGACACCACAGCACAGATATGCAATACTGGGCTGGCGTCGTTATGAGAAACCTCTGCCGCAAGGACGATACCCGAGGAGGCATCCGACAGTGCGCCTACTACCAGTGTGGCAAGTGGGAAGAATTTACCCGCCAGTTTGCCAAGTGCCGTCGCTGCCGACGCACCAAATACTGCAGTAAGGAATGCCAAAAGAGTGCGTGGGCTTTCCATCGACACTGGTGTGTTGCAGCGACCCAGTGATATACGACACGGCAGCACATTTCGACTGTACCCGATCACGCCCGTTCAGGCGTAATGTTTATACTATGGATTCTTCGCCCCCACGGGTGGCACTGCATTGCACAGCACAGCGTTTTTTTCCGAATGGCATGGCGTTTCCCTCGATACCACTGGTCTTTCAAACAGCATATTCAAGGTTCGGCATTGGGTCCTTGCTATTTATGGCGACGGCATGACTTCCCTTTTTCCAGGACGATATATCGGCCTCCTTCCTCGCTTCACATTTTGTCACGGGACGACAGTCAAAGGCACCAGCCCGGCATCTTGACTGCCTGTACTGCATCCTCCGATTCATACTGAGTCTTTCCCTGCTGGCCACTACCGGCACAACATCCATCCGTTGTTGTTTCGGTCTGGTGAGCAGGACATGTTCTGCGGCAGAAGCCGCAAGCAGCGCCAGCCCTTGGAGGTATTTTTGTCAAATGCCTACCAGATTGGCGTTGTCAGGTAGTTTATCAGGGGGGTCGATGGATAGCCCCGGCAACCTCTTTGGATGATGGAGGATCAAACCACCTTCCAGAAACATGGCAACACAATAACCACTAGTGGTGCGGTCTTCTGAATCAATTCCTTGGGACTTGGATAGCGTGGGTGGGAAGGCGTTACGGGTAAGCTCAAGAGCACATATTCCGAGCCGTTGCGGATGATGTACGTATCGTTATGAGAGTTATCAACTATAATGTTAAGGATTTACGGTCTTCAGCTATTGTCGACAGCATCGCAGTGCAGGTGAATGGCGATGACGTACCAAAACATAACTCTGGAGGCCGAGCGACTAAGCTTGATTCCTGGCTGTGCGTATATAAACTACAATCCGGATATTCGACTGGAAATCATCCAAAGTTACTGGCAAGGCGCGCAACCGGGTGCGATTTTGTTGGCATTCCTTCGCTAGGTGGGTAGTCAAGGGTTGAACTTTTTGATCGGTGGTGTCAGACAACTCCATGTGTTCCATTAGACGTCTATCTACAGCTAACAATACATAGCTTTTGGTTTTGACCTCCTTCAGTCCCGACGGGTATTTGCTCCTCCGCCCAGCGCCTCTTCAACCAACTTTGCGTCACACTAGCCATCTAGTCTTATCCACTGCCTACTTATTGGACATGGACTTTCTCCTGTTCTTTCCAGGCCGCGTCTTGGTGACCCTGCCCTTGGCAACTCCGCCCTTCATACGCTTGGCATTAAACCCGCTGAGGTCGCCAGAGCTCATGGCATCCCCTGACTTAGAGTGGCGCTTCTTGCCACCAAAGCCATACTTGTCGTTCTTCTTTTGCCGCTTGGCATTGACGCCGCTTCCGCTACCACGGGGTCCGCTCGTCTTCGAGTTTCGGTGGCCCTTGAGTTCATTGTCGACAGCCACGTCGAAGAGATCGCCCTCGTGGGTATCTTGGTTGCCACCGCCTTCCTGACGTTCTAGATAAGAGAGACCGGTAAGCAACGTGTTTGCATGGGCATGCGGCGATGATGGTGGTAGCGATTGGGGGTTGGATGGAATGGGGGAATGGGCTTACTCCTCTTAAGAGTCTTGATCTTCTCAAGCGTGTCCTTCTTAGCTTTTTGACGCTCCTGCAACTTGGCAACTTGCACCTGCTTGCCGAACTTTTTCAGATCCCTGAGCTTCCTGGCCTCGGCGGCAGCCTTCTTGTTGCTAGCTTCCTCGATAAGCTTGTCCTTGATCTTCTGCATCTGGCCATCGTCCTTCGCCATCTCGGCAAAGTAGTCACTCGGGCGCGAGAATGGAACGCCCTCTTTGAGGAGAAGAGTGCGACCCTTGCGCGCGGCCTCGAGGGCTTGGGAAAGCATGGCGAGTTCGCGCTGCAGGTCGTCCTGAACGTCCGGGACGGACTCGGCGGTAGACTTGGACGATGTTATGGACTGGTGGGTTGCGAAAGGTGCGGCGGCCGAGGTGTCGATGCGAATGCGGTTGAGGGAGGCAAGAAGAGCGGCCTTATTGTTGATGGTCAGCTTGGTGTGGGGAACGATGTCCTCGAGGTCTTCATCGTCGCCTTCGATATCGGAGAGAGGCACGTCGTCCTCCTCCGGATCCTCCTCGTCTTCTTCATCTTCTTCGTCCTCGTCCTTCTCTTCAACCTCTGTTGGCGTCTTCTTGTTGGTCTTAGTCTTCTTTGCAGGGCGTTCAGCCTTCTCCATCTCGACCTCGGAGTCGGATTCGCTGTCTGTGTCGTCCAGCGCTTCAATATCCAACTTCAAAACATTAGCCACCTGTTAAAAACTCAAACACACACACACACACACACACACAAAAAAAAAAAAAAAAGAAAAGGGTCGAAATGAAGGGGGTCGCCTTGACTAGCAAGAACTCACTATGTCCTCTTCCTCGTCTTCCTCCTCGTCTGAGTCGGCGTCCTCAAACTCGGCGTTCAGCGCGATCCCACCCTCGATAGAGATTGCGTCGTCTTCGGCCTCCTCGTCCTCCATCTCCTCGTCGGAACCGTCTTCAGCCTCCTCGCCGTTGAGCTCAGCCTTCTTGGCTTTCTCCTTCTCGGCCTCGCGGTGCTTCGCCTTAATCTTGCGATCCAGCTTCTTCTTTTGGAAATCGACCCCCTTGTCGGCCGCAAGGGCAAGCTTGAGCTTTGATTTCGTGACCATTTTTTCTGTTTGGTTTCGGCGCAATCGTTTAAAGGTTGCTGTTTGGAGTTGCACCTTTCGCTCGACAGGCGACGCGGACAATGTGGGGAGGGTCCTGGCCAAGGAAAAAAAAAAAAGTCGATGCGATGAAAATTCTGCCGCCTCTGGTGGCCCACTTACGGAGGGCGGTCAGCGCTTTATGGGTCACATAATGCTGCACAGACACTAGTGTCTGTCGGCAACGATTGGTCAGAACAGTGATGGTGGGGTTTGCGACCAAACAATGTCCGGATCTGCTGCGGTTCTTAATAACATGAACAGTAAGGGCATCGTGCTGTTTTGAATTATGTTATTGCCTCCAAATAGTCAAACATTTTGATCACTCGGGGTGCCTTGTAGCAAATAGTGTTGCACACGACATTTATGCCACCAAAGCGTCACCAATGGAATAAAGACTGCTTAACATCAGACGCACCTTAATAGACTGCTTTAGAAACATTATATCTCACATACGACCATACCCATTGGAAAACTCGGGATCCCGTCCGCTCTCCCATAGACAAGCTAATGAGGGCTGGAGTAGTAGTCGGGTCGGTGACGACCGGCGAATGCCCGGTGTTGTATGTACGCTTATGTGTGTTTTTTTCTTCTTTTATAATAAGCCTTAGTATTAACCCCCATCCTTATATTTATGAATAATATCTTACACTATATGAAAGCAGGTGGTGTTAATTATGTGGTATAGCGACTTTATAATAGAGCTAGCTGAAACTAGATAGTTAATTATTAAAATTATTAAGATGAGATAATTCTTATATTTTAGTCCTTATATCTACTAATGCGACTAAGGGTACGCATGCGCCGTTCATACACATTTCTTATCCTCGCGCCTGCCCCTCTTCGTAGGCGGAAGCGTGGCTCTATAAGTTGATGTATAAGATATATCTAGAGCCATGCATGTGAATAAGGAACTCCGTGAAAGAAGTTCGCCTAATAAATCTACACCTTTAGCAAGATCGCATCCTATTCTTGGTGTGAGTGGCCAGGCTAACCACTTAGAAGTACATTGCTTGAAACGTCATATTTCCCCTGGGCCAGGCCCGTGAATATGACTCGCTTCATTGTTCACCGGGAAGCCATGGGGGACCAAAAGGTTGGAAGCTCAGCGCTTACATGACAACGCAGGCGCTGATAGTCGCGCTTGACGTATGTGAGCTGTGACCGAAGTTGGATCGTGTTGATGAGCTGGGGTCTGTGGCGGTGTAAAGATCGATCTTAAGCTCGGAGCAGGGAATCATATTGCTGTCGCGGTCTTCTGTCGAGGGTTGAGAAGTGATATGCCTTTTCTGTGTGTGAGTGATTCGACGCGAGGAGTTGGAGTGAATGTTATAGTGATAATGACGATGATATTGAAAGAGGTAAGGTTGGTAATGTTCTACAGACAGTGAGTAAGATTTGGATTGGGTGTCTTGAGACATCTTCTCGTTCTTATAGTCTTTCCTGAACAGTGCATATTCCACTTTGCAGATCATTCACGGCATACGGAACATTGCACGACATCGTGCGCTGATACTACGGCAACCTACCAAGGTTGTGCAGGACGAAGCAAGGGCTTCTATGCCAGAAAGGCTCTTTGGTCGGAAACATCATGTATAGCTGAAAGGTGTTGTGTCTCTTGAAACTTGTCCCAGGTCACCCGGAATGGTCGCCTGTACTCAGTGTGTATTGCTGTGGCAGAGGAAACGGCAGCTGTGTACGGTGTCCACGCAGGGAGGAGGAAGAAAGCCAACGCCCCGGATTTCGCTTTGGAACACGCCCTTTGAGCCAATTGCCGTTGCTGGTCTTCTACGAGTGCAGTTAGCTCTTTGAAGATTTCACAATTCCCCTTCAGCGACACAAGAGCCTTGTTCAATTTTTCATCTTCAAGGCCACAAGACAACCGAGCAACATGTTGGACTCGCCCCAGGAAGACCTCTCTCCCGAGTTATCAAGACCAAACGCTGTTTCCCTCGTCAAGCATCGGCGCGACTCGAACCAGATTTGTCTAGGTGAGATATGGATAAAACCCAGGCCAACCCACGGTGTGGCTGTTGCGTATGATGTTGAAATTCTTTGGTTTCCGTCCTTCTTCATTCGACACAGTATGCAAAGTTCAATTGTAACTCCAGTTGTATTGGCTTTTCAAGCATTCTCCGATCCTTTCTAGTTGAAGCCGTCCTAGAGTTGAAGTGCTTTGCCCCGTAATCTCAACCCAACTAACTCCACGCTTCCCGATCCGGCCAATAACAATCAACGGCCGACGAAAAGACTGCAACAAACATGGTCCGAATGAAGTTTCTGCAGAGCTTGGACGTCCCTTGCTTAAAAGCGGGTGAAGGGGAGCCTTTAATGCATTAGCTTCGCAACATCTCTTGGCTGTAACCACCACGCGCAGGTCGGCGGCTACAATTCTGCGGAAAACCTACCACTTGCCCTTGAGTGTGATGACAACCCAAGGGGCGCCGGCCTCGTCGATCTCCTTCTCCACTTTGGTATTAAAGCAGATGGCGCTCATAATGCCGTCGCCGAACTTTTCGTTGAGGACAGCCTTATAAGCGTATCCGTAGTTCTGGACAATTTCGTAGAGGCGGTAGATGAGAGGCTCAGTGGGGGGCATTGGGCCAGCGCGGCCCCTATCAGGGAAGTTGGTGAGGGAGCTCAAGGTCGCGCGGTCAACGCCGAGGAGCCCGGATAGTCTCTCCACATCCTCATCGGATGCTTGGACCTGGCCATAGAAGATGCCGGCCACGGCCACCTCGCTGCGCCCCAGGTGCTGAGCAATGGACTCAAAGTTAAGGCCCTTGTTCGATTTGGCCTCGAAAAGGACCTTGGAGTGGGCAGGGAGGCGATCCGCCATAGAGGTCTACGGGAGGTCGTAGGGTTAGTTGAGAATGTTTTTTTTGGGGGGGTGGTACAGGAAAATGACGTCTCAGTGTCTGAGTCGCCGTCGCTTCTGCTTACGTCAAGTGAGGCAAGTTGTCCGGACATGTTCCTGATTGTTTAGCTTTGGGATGCCGGCTGGGATTGATCTTATCGGCGTGAAGTGTGAGCAAGCAATATTGGCAAAAGGAGTTAATTTACCGGGAAAAGAAACCACTGTCGAACATCCCAAGCCGACTGACTTGTTTTTAAAAGCACGAATTACTGGTTATACGGATATTTCCCTCAATTTGGACGTCATTCATCCAGAACGTCCATGGGCAATGCGGGGTCGTGAGCTAAGAGAAACATCAGTCCGAGATGCAACTACTTGCTGCTCATCGTTGCCGAGGCTCCATCCGCGCCGGAGAAAACACGGCTTTTCGGCTTCGTTTGAATCGGCCCGCCACAATTGCATTTCGTGCCGTCGAATTTCAAATCCCGGTGACTATAATGACTAATTCTTTGTATAGCGGCTTGTTTCTATATGACAATCGGCTTCGAGATCCGCCCTGAAGCTGAGCGCAGGGCGGAAGAAGCAGTTAGGTCGGGCAGACCGGGCTTGGTAGATTCGGCGATTTCGCCCCGGTCGACCTCGCCCCCTCCCGGTTTAGTGCCGCCGACGCAGTTTCTCTTCTACTCTAAACTGATATTGATTTGAAACACCTGCACCAACAATATCGGCAATGGCCACCATCTCGAATGTCTCCGAGTACAAGTCCTCTGCTGGCACTCGCGTATCTCTGTCGAGATCGGGAAACGTTTGTATCTTCAACTGATGCGTCCGTCCTTGTACCTCGCAAGGATTGAAATGACCTTGCATCCAGTCATCGTGGTGCTCCTCTGGCTGGGACTGGGCATTGAACTCATGCAGCTGACACGCTATCTCTACCCGTGCAGATCAGGCGGCACTGGTGTTTATTGGCAAACCACCAAGATGCGTGCCGCACATGCAGACGCTTCCGGTTGGCAGTCGTGACGCTACCTGCCTGCGCCGAAGCAGAAGACAATGCAACACCCGTGAAGCTGCAGACAGAGTCGCAGATCGCTCATATTGCGGATGACCGAGCAGCCGCTGTGCCAGGCGGTGGGAGTTCGCCGATGCTTGACAACCGTTGTGGCTGTTGGAGCTTTCAGAGCCTTGGTGGTCAGCGAGGTAGATTGTGGTTCTCGATAATTCGCTCAAGCTGGCGTCGAAGAGTTCGCGCCGAGGGTAGGCCAACCTCTGAGATCCCACTCTCTTCTGGCGCCCTTAAGGTCATCAACGTTCAATATGTCCACACCTTCTCGAATAAGGATGCCCCAAATATGGTTTCTGATGCTGATTGGCCAGGCAGGGAGATCCCAGTACCGCACTTTCAAGCCCCGGGCATGGGCTTGCTTGACCTGTTCCCTCAACTTCGTGATCTGGCTCTTCGACAGGTCGCCGAACCACACGATACCGACAGCTTTTTTGAAGGAGACACTGGTATAGTACGAGTTTGTCGGGTTGAAGTCTCTCGTATCGAGTTTGGTGAGGGGGGCGTCAAAGAAATAGTCCCGATAGGTGGTATTCTGGACCAGCATATCAAACGGAGTGTTACCGGTTCCTACAACTGTGATGGGGCCATAGTTGACCTGGCCATCAATGGCGGTACTCAGCCACCCTCTGTCGCGCAGGGGTTGGAGCTGGCGCACCACCTCTGGCCATGTTTCCGCACCGTTTGTCTTGAGGTCTACAAGTAGAATGAGGGTTTGGTTCGGGTTTGCCTCGTAGATACCGCGGGGACGTTGGTCCGTGGAGTTCTCGTAACCTAAGTTTCGTTCCTCCAGAAGCCGAACCAAGGGATCGACGTAGAGGCTGGTGAATGTGTTTTCCTCGCGAAGGGACCACCTGTCGTGTCCGACAAACAACTCAGTGCCATAGAGCCAGACGTCGGCCTCGATCCCTACGCAGCCCACCTGAAGGGCCGAGAACACTGGTCTTCTTCTCCAGTAGTCGTTATGTGAGTGGCACGGAATGGGAACGACAACGCTTGCTTCTTCAAATTCCTCGGGAGCGCTGTCCCAGACCTCTCGCGCTG